GCTTAGGGCAGTTGTCCAAGTTTCGGAAGTGTGTTCAAATGAAACTAGAACAACTTCATTACAAAAGGATACTTTGTGTGTTAATTCCAGTCCCAGCTTAAAATAAGAATATGGAGGAACTGAAGACATATTACTCTCTCTGTTGCTGATTAAAAGCGAAAACTCCAATCAGTGTTTCATGGTATATTTCAGTACCTTCAAACAAGCCTGCTTTCTGTAATCTCAGGTTGGTTTGTGTTTTTGGCTGTGGGATGGGATTCTGCTAGATTGGCTCTGACGAATGACACAGGTAGAAGTGGAATTGCAAACTCAAAGACTTTGCAGCATCATGTTTCAATTGGTTTTTGCATACATCCATCACTGTAAGGACAAATATTTAGGGAATTTACTGTCAACTTGAGATGCTTATAAAGTAAGATGTCCTCAGAGCATTGGGTCCAGATTTCTAAAATTGCTCTAAGGAATGAGAGTCTCTGGATGGATTTACTTAGGATGATATTTGCATCAACAGCCTATGGTATGGGTCTGAATCGGTTAGATGCCAGTATTTGAAGACCTTGATAGGAAAACGTATGAGAAAATATGTACCAGACTAACAGCATTGCCTACTCCATCATGTTGAAGTCATAGATGAATAAAAAGAAACAAAGCAAGATGTCCTGTAGCAAGTGTATTGCAGAAGATAACTCCAGTTTTGTTTGTGTTGAAGTAAATGATTAAACATAATTTTGGGGAATGGAGCATCAGGTGTTCTAGATAAATTGTTCTTTGTCTGGAAGTTTAATTCCTGCTTTTTTCCAACTGTTCTTTTGGGGTTTTATTGGACTCTCTTGATATTGGTAAGAAAATTTACCTGAAATGGAAAGCATTTATTAACGTAATAAGAAACATAGAACTGTGGCATATAAAGCAGCGTAAATTCCTGGAATTCAAACAGAACTGCTATTGGCAATAGGGGGATTCTGTTGTTTTGGGGGGGGGGGATGAGTAATTTTTTTGTCTGTTTGGGGTTTTTGGGGGTTATCTTGTTTTATTTTTAATGAGAGCAATTGAATGTATTTGGAATCTGTGCTTCAGTCAACGATCCCTGACAAATCAATGCTATGTATATGGAATGCATCAGTGTCTATATCAATGTCTATCATGATGCAAAAATACTGCCTTAAGAAATTGATGGCTTCGAAGAAAGAGGCATTATTTTACTGGTGCATCAGAATTGACTGGTTGCCTGCAAGAACAGAAAGAATTCATTGTCTGAATTTTTTCTCTCATGTGAAAACATTTAGGGCTTTTCTGAGCATTAGACTGAGCAAACTCTGAGCTGTCATACCCTCTCTAAAGATGAACCAGGACTTTTTCCAGCTTTGCACCTTATACTTCTTGAATTACTCCTGTTTTATAATGGAGGAAGGGGGCAAAAGTGACTGGATCATAACAAACAATGTAGCACATAACCTGATTACTTCAGCCTTCTGTACAACTGCATTTTCACTGCATTTAATATGAATTTTGCGTAAGAAGACCTCTGTCCTTAAAGTGAATGGTGTGTGTGAGTCCTGTAGGAGATGTTTATAAGATTATTCCACAGGCTGTCAACCCAAGACGTTAAACAATCTTGCACAGTTTCTAGAACTCTTGCCGTTAGTGCCCCTTTCCCTTTCCCCAGTCCTTCTACCCCCAAAAGAAAGGAAGTACATAATTACTAACATCCTATTTATAAACGTTATCTTGTTACTGGGCTATGTTTTTGTTTAGCTGAAATAGATACCCTTTTTCCCCTTTATGATGAAAATTGTCTATAAAAAAAATCACAAAGAATTTAGCTTAGTGCAGCATTATCATTAATACAGAAAACATCTGGTTCTGAGCTATGGTATGCTACACTTGTGATCTTTATCTCACTTTTAAGTATTTTTATGTATTGTTGTTATGGCAATGCATGAAGATTGCAGCTGTGTGAATTTGTTTTGGTGAATTGCTGATTTGAGAAAAAATGGAGGTTGGGTTTTCTTTGTAAGTAGGTAGGTTTTTTACTACACAGAACGTACTTAATGCAAATTACATTAGGACCAAGGTAGGGTCTTCACGCACCTTATTCATGTAGGGAAGAGCAGAGAATTAAGCTTAAATCAAAGGAATACAGTACACAGTGATGCATTAAAATAACAAACTTTTATTAGCACAAGTGAGATTGTTTCATTTACGTGAACTGCCAGTCTATCACTCTACAAAGACAGGTAACAATTTTCTAAGGATTTGAGAAGTTTCACAGTATTCTTGTCATCCATCACATAAACAGACCTCAACTTGGCTTTTCTTTCTCTCTTTTTTCAGTGAATTACCTCATTTCTGCTCAATAAAATCACTGAACTGTTCAGCTGTATCATCGCTTGTTGCTCTAGCAAATAATTCAAAGATCCAGTGTTTCAGACACTGTAACTGAATTGACTTCTCATGAAGCCTTTTTTTTTGCTAAAACTGCTTTTTTTCTGATTTTACATAGAACCATCTGAACCTTTGGAAACCTTTATTTTATTTTATGGTTTTGATAGTTAAAATGCATTATTGCACTCATTCTTTGTATTCATTTTAATAATGTCCTTATTTATGAACAAATATTCTTCTGCAAATCATGCCTCAATTGTTGAACAATATGCACACACAATGAGTTTAGTTCTAAAATTACTTTATGATTTATTGTTGGTTTTTTTTAATTAAGGGCCTTTGACAGTGAGTGTGGTCAATCAGAAAGATCGCCAGATGACATGTAAACTTGATCACAACTCAAAAACTCCCATCCACAGTTATGGGTATTGGGAACAAGGCAGATTCTCAAAGGCCAGTTGCTTTAGTGAGAAAAAAAATGCAGTACCTGCACTATAAATTTCAGGCATCCAGAAGAGACTGAAATCATTCTCTACTGAGGCAGAAGTGCAGTAATCCGAATGAAATCGAATGCTGCAATTATTCTTCAGATTTGGTTATAGGGTTATACTTCTCTGTCTAGCTGGAATATTAACAGCTTTTTGTAGCTTGCCATGGACAAATTACATCCATTGCTGAATGTGACCACTGAAAATTCCTTGGAAAAAAAATAACAATTTTATATGATGTAGTTTGGGGTTTTTTAAATCTGCATTTTTGCATGAACATTAATGTTACTGGTCTAAAAGTATGTGAGAATAAATCAATACTGCATAATATTCTGTCTACTTGTCTGTTAGCTATGACCTCTGACATACAAGCTTCTTGCACAAAGTTTCACTTTGTTTTCTCTTGAGAGAAAAATGTTGACTAAAAATTTTAGAAGGCCATGTTTTTGATAGACAGATTCAAATATAAAAGCTATGATACAAGGCGGCCTATGTCATTGCTCTACTAAAACAGTCATAGTCATCAGAGAGCCAAAAGTTAATCAAGCAGAGAACTGCTGAAAACCTCATTTAAAGAAATCACATCTGTTTAGGGAAAAAAAAATCCCAAACCCTGAGGCATATGCTTCAATTTCATTTAAACTGTAATCCATCCAGTGGTTTACATCTGTTAAGAAATATGGAACTTTTCACACCTCTTTAAAGCACAATTAAACTGTATTTATTTTAATACATAATGTGTTCTGAATATGTAATACCTTTCTGAAATGACTCATAGATGATTAATTTCATAATTCTTTATTATACAGCCTTCCAAGTCCTTTGAATCAATTTGTATATTAAACATAGATTAAATTTAAAGAGAAAGGTGTGGAAATGGTGTAGTTTGATGCCAGAAACTTCAGAACTGTCAATTTAATATCACCGAGACAATGAATTTTAGGAGGAAGGAGAGTTTCTTTAAAATAAAATATAACTGATAAAACAATCTAGTTCAAGGACTTAGTCACAAAAAAAATCATTTGAATTGAACTGTAACCTTGCTGTTCTTGAATGTTGCTTAGTAAAATGGGTAAACGTTCCCAGAAAGTGTTTTTAACATGGCGTAATGCTGACAATCTGACCATACAATCTGGAGTTTGAAGCACAGCAGTAAAAGTAGTGCCTATGAACTATAGAGGATAACCAGAAATATTTCAAGTAGTTATTCAGGGACTTGTATCTCACTCTTTTGTGTATGAAATAAGCCTGGTGTTCCACTATGTATCTGTAATGACTACTTGTGTATTTTAAATTGTAATTGAACATTGCCTCTTCTAATCTGTAAATTCTCTGTGACTTCTCCCCATCTGGTGTTGGGATTTAAAGTCTGCCATTATGCACTTTCTGTTCCACTCAGATCCTTTACCATCAGGTTTCTTTTGTAAACATAAATATATGAAAATTCATAAGTATCCATTATCTGGATAACAGACTGAGGTACACTATTCCAGTGTCATCTTGGACAGAAAAATCTGAGAGCCTGAGCTGTCTTCCTGCAAAGTGAGAATGATTTCAAAGTAGCAGAAAATGCAGTTAGTATTGAGTTGCCCAAATATTACAGCAATATGGTGGGTATAAGTACGGATCTTATGGTTTCTTTCAATGTGATGTGTGTATCCATTTTACATTCTCTGGGTGTGAGAGCACTTTTATTTTACCAATATTTTTTCATTGCTAAGTGAATGGATAATGACAAAAATCAGAGGAGGAGCATACACTCAAAAAAGGTGATTTTTCTCTTTGATATGCCTTCGATATGCCCTACATCAAATGGAGCTATTGAACAGAATCTCTTGTTGACAAGTTTTTAATAAATGGATCAGAGAAATAACGATTGAAAAAATACACAGCACTGTTTGAAGTGGAAATGACAGTGAATATTTCACAAGGAAACCCTTGTAAGACGGTAAAAATATATATAAATAAAAAACCTCTTAAATGTCTTTTCGTGTTATTATACAAATAACTGTGTGGTTTATTCCTGATTTTTGAGTTGCTCCATTCTTCAGGGATTCTACAGGTGAAGCGCCTTTATTGCTACAAAATGTAATGGTGTGTTCATCCAGTCATTCTGTCTTGTTGCAGAGGATCTTGATGATCTAAGAATGGAAGGAGTAACAAGTGTGATGTCTTCCGGGAGCAAATTCAATCAAACTCGAAGCGCTTATACAGCTGAGCCTCAAGCAAAGGTCACGTTGAATATCTGCGCAAGATGTGCCAGGTAAAAAGCAAAACAAAACCAGATCATGCTAACCAGTGCATTCTTTTCCCCAGGTTTTCAGCTATGTGTTGAGCGTGTGGGCCAGGTGATGACCTCTCTTGGGCTAAAGAAAAAATAATTACTTAGCTACTGGCTACCCTATGACCTCTAGCATTTGGGTTGTGCAACTTATGTTTATGCTTGATATGTCACCTCAACAATGAATCAAAGAACATAGTTAGTCTTAGGCCTTACTTCACAGCTTGAAACTATTTTAAGCCTTTCTGTCTCTGAATTTCATTAGTTATTTGAGCTTCTGTGGTTTTGCAGGGGATGAATCGAGGAATTTAATGGTTCAAATCCAATTTGAAAAGCACCTGTATAAATGGAGATTTAGTTGCACAGGTGCAGTTCAGGATTTCAAATAGTTGCTTCTTAGCACTTTATAATCTCATCCTGTTTCACCTCTGAGAAATAATCGGGTTGAACCCCTTTTTGGTTTTGACAGCTGGAAGTAATTCTTGCATATACAGTATGACGGACAAATATACAGGTTGGTATTCCGGTAGCCAAGTCAACTTGAGAATGCAACACTAACGGAAACCCCTTAAATTTCCTAGATGCATTCTTCTGTGTAGACAAAAGCTCATTTAGGGAAAGGATTTAAGCCTGTTTAAATGACAAAACTAGCCTTCTCACCCTTCTGTTAATGGTTCAGATTAGCAAGAACAATACAGAGGCATGCCAATTTTATCTGCCTGCCTTTGCCAATGGCTGCTCTATTGTGTAGTTTGAGAGGGGATTAGCGGCTTGTAAATAAAAAGCAACCTGTGGTGAAATTAAGTCAAAAGTTTGGCCATATGCCACCCTACGTTTCTACTTCTTTCCCGTTTTGCTTGTAAATTACTGCTTTTAAAAAGGCACTTCTATAGGAAGAGGGGCTTCAAAACTTTTTTTTGATGCTCTGGGAGCATAACTACAAGCATACTGAGTCACCCATGCAATAGCATCTCTTTTGCAGGGTTGTGGAGCCTCAAGGAACTTCAGCTCATAGTGCTATCAGAGCAGGAGTGCCTGGATGGCCATGTATTCTAGAGAGTTTTGCTGTCCGCAGTGTGGCCTTATACTTTAAAAAAAGAGCAGACATTCTAGTCGTGGGATTCTTCCCAATTCTCTACAAACAAATTGCTTGCAAAATATTGTAAAAATGTTGTAAAATGTTTCCAAGCAACTAGCTACATTAAAGTGTGGCAGCTTCTTTTTTTTTAACTATTATCAGTTGTCCGTGGATTAACAAGTAGAAAGGTAAGGAAAATAGAAATGTTAAGTTTTCTACATGGTCTTTTTGAATTTATGTAAAATCCTGTATGGATTACTATGAAGGTTAATTAAATTTTAAATTCCCTAAAGTAGCCGCTAACAGCAGGTGCCAAGACACTATATATTCTCTCAGTCCTGCACAGCAGGGAATAAACGGCTCAGATCTTGAGCCAAACCTGGCAACCTTGGTTATTGTTATTGTCCTTTGACTGGCTATACTGTTTGACTCTGCAGTCTAAAATATGAGTTGTGAGAGAAAGATCTCATTAAATCCCCTTTTGTCACTGATCAGAGAATGCAAAGCAATGGTTTATTTCACCTATATACCTTCATTCCCTACCCTGTGTAATAAAGTTGGTGAGGAATTGGATGATACCTGCTTGACTGTGGATCTTTTCACTCTTGTTGCAGTTTGTTTCTTTAAACTTTGGAGGAATTAAAAAAATATACCATCTCACTGGTGGCAAGGGAAGTCAAAGGAGAGAAATGGATATCGCTGTTGTATTCAGTAGTGAGGAAACTAGCATTTATTCTTCAAGATGATGAAGGTCTACCTACTTTTTTAGAGCATTCCTTCCTTCTTACTGAGTCTGAGGACACCTTTCCACAGAGTTATTAGTACAGTTAGCTCTCTTTTGATAGATGCCTCCTCAGTGGGTTTGTCAGATGCCTTCCTGCAGCAGCTGAAGTAATGGGTAGGGAGAGTTGCATGAAGTAAGTGGCTTCAAGGACGCAAAGATATTTTTTTTTCCTGTTTGGATCCAATAACAATTCAATTTTCTGTTACTCAGTGACACAGCCATTGAAATTACTGTGCTATAAGATCACAGCTTGAGTATTTGGGTCATCTCTGTGAAAATTCCTAAGTGTTGGCAGTTATCTGTATTCCTATGGCAAAGCCTAATATTTATTATAAGGTCATAATACAGAACCTATTAGTATATTTATTTGGTTTAGAAGTGATACTTTTATGGTTTTATATATTCTAAGTAGTATTGTGCACTGTATACTTTATGTATCAGTAATAGGGGATTTGATTTGAGGCACATTTAAATACAGTTGAAAAAGAAACTAGTATAAGTATCCTGCCTGACCAATTTGCTGGCCTTCTATGATGGGGCTATGGAACTGATGGACAGGGGTAGAGCAGCTGACGTCATCTACGTGGATTTGTGCAAAGCGTTCGACACTGTCCCACACAACATCCTTGTCTCTAAATTGGAGAGACATCAATTTGATGGATGGACCACTGAGTGGATAAAGAACTGGCTGGATGGCTGCACACAGAGTTGTGGTCAATGGCTCAATGTCCGTCTGGAGACCAGTAACGAGTGGTGTCCCTCAGGGATCGGTGTTGGGACTGGTCTTGTTCAACATCTACGTTGGTGACATGGACAGTAGGATTGAGTGCACCCTCAGCAAGTTTGCCAATGACACCAGGCTGTGTAGTTTGGTTGATACGCTGGAGGGAAGGAATGCCATCCAGAGGGACCTTGACACGCTTGTGAGGTGGGCTGATGGCAACCTCATGAAGTTTAACCATGCCAAGTTCAAGGTCCTACACCTGGGTGGGAGCAATCCCAGGCACAGCTACAGGTTGGGCAGAGAAAAGATTCAGAGCAGCCCTGCAGAGAAAGACTCTGTGGTGCTGGTTGATGAGAAACTGAACATGAGCCGGCTTCATTGTGCGCTTGCAGCCCAGAAAGCCAACCGTATCCTGGGCTGCATCAAAAGGAGTGTGACCAGCCGGTCGAAGGAGGTGGTCCTGCCCCTCTGCTCTGCTCTTGTGAGACCTCACCTGGAGTATTGTGTGCAGTTCTGGTGTCCTCAACATAAAAAGGACATGGAACTGTTCGGACAAGTCCAGAGGAGGGCCCCGAGGATGATCAGGGCACTGGAGCACCTCTCTTATGAAGACAGGCTGTGAAAGTCGGGGCTGTTCAGCGTAGAGAAGAGAAAGCTGCATGGAGACCTCATAGCAGCCTTCCAGTATCTGAAGGGGGGCTATAAGGATGCTGGGGAGGGACTCTGCGTTAGGGGCAGTAGTGATAGGATAAGGGGTAACGAGTTAAACAGGGGAAGTTTAGATTGGATGTAAGGAGGAAATTCTTTCCTGTTAGGGTGGTGAGGCACTGGAATGGGTTGTCCAAGGAAGCTGTGAATGCTCCATCCCTGGTGGTGTTCAAGGCCAGGTTGGACAGAGCCTTGGGTTTCATGGTTTAGTGTGAGGTGTCCCTGCCCATGGCAGGGTGGGTTGGAACTAGATGATCTTAAGGTCCTTTCCAACCCTAACTATTCTTTGATTCTATGTTGTTATTGATTGTTGTTATTAGACTGGATATTAGGAAGAATTTCTTCACATAGAGGGTAATCAGGTATTGGAACATTCTTCCCAGGGAAGTGGTGGAATCACCATCCCTTGGAAATGTTCAAAAACCACGTAGATGAGGCCCTCTGTGATATGGTTTAGTCATGGTCTTGGCAGTCCTGGGGTACTGGTTAGATTTGATGATCTTAAAGATCTTTTCCAACCTAGTTGATGCTATGATTCTATGATTATGCATACTTTTGTTAATAATTAAACAGGTGTCTTTCCTCTTAATTTTATCCAATTTTTTGTTCTGTAAAAGGGATTTGAAATGAATGGGGCTATTAATGTCAGTGGGTGTTCTGTAGATAATAGTGCTTGTCAAATCAGGTTACTGAATCAGGTTTGCTGAAGGTATTTTGGCTGTCTGTAGGAAGATGACTCTCACTTGAAATTTGATTGGCAGAGTTCCAAATGTTAGGAAATTTGCTTCTTGGTTCAGACAAAAAGTTTAATTTTATTCTTCCATAATCTAGTTAATCTAGTTCATTCACCTGATTGTTTTTTTGTTTTAAATGGTCTGCTCTGATTACTCTCCAGTTAATTTACCTTCTGTGATATCTCATCCAGAAGGTTTCTTACTTCCTTAGCTATGTTGGGGCTCTTCTGAGAGGGATTTATTTAAACATCTGAATGAGTTCCTCAGTACTAGCCTTAATTTAATTTGGCTTAATTTTTGGGGGTCTCACTTGGAAAGGACCAGTATTCTTACTGAAGTCCTAACCTGCTTCTTCTTAAAATTATGTGTAAATTTTAGAACCTCCTGCTAATAGGATTACATTTTCTTGCCCTACATCATTTGGGCTCACTTATTTGAGAATTAGAAAGAACAGGTCTGTGACTGTGTGTAAGTTGGTTAAGCTTTAGAGGAGTGTCAGTTTAATTCTGTATGCCCACTGAGAGCACCTGCAGTAGGGTATAGTGCAGCAGCATATCTCTTCAACAGCTTCGATAGCTTCCTGCAAATGGGCTAAATATGGAAGTACAGTGACTTGTGAAAAGAATGGACTAAACCAACTGTTTTCCCCAGCTGAGATATTTGTCATAGGACTTAGTTTAGCTCCAATTTACTCATTCCCTTTGTAGTTCCCTTTCCTGTATGAGAAAATCAGGACCCAAATTCTAGAATGTAATAATAGGAGGATACTACAAGCAGCTTCTGGTTCCTTCGTTCTCTGTCAGTATGGCCTTATTCTTTTGCTAGTAACTGGCACTTAGTTCAAGCTGGTGTTTAATGTCCTGTGTAGCTGGTTTTCTCTTACTGTCACTAGGCTGTTACTCTGCACAGAAATAGTTCTTCTCTTTGAACTCTCCTATTCTATTTCTGACACAG